CCTAGCTACTCAGGAGATTGAGATCTGAGGATCGTGGTTCAAAGCCAGCTTGGGCAGGAAAGTTTGTGAGAGTCTTATCTCCAATTTACCTCCAGAAAACCAGAAGTGGTGCTGTGGCTCAAATGGTAGAGTGCTAGTCTTGAGGAAAAAAGAGCTCAGGGAGAGTGCCCAGGTCTAGAGTTCAAGTCTCAGGACCAGAAAAAAGAAAAACAAAAAACCACAGTAAAGGCCTGTCAGAGGAATAAGCAGGGTGACTTGGAGCACTGGGTGGCCAGAGACTGCTATTTTGTATTGCCCTTCCCTTTTTCCTCCTCCCCTTAAGCCATTTGTTAGATGGCAACTGGTTTGTTTGAAACAGTCAAGACCCTCCCCTAGTACAGAGGATGATTGGCTAGCCTGGCTGACTTTTTTCCACCTTAAAGCCTTGTTCCTGAATGGGAAGGTTGCCTTATGTCCTATGAGAGCTTGATCATTTGCTTCTAGGAGGAACAAGGAGAAGGAGAAGGAGAAGGAGGAAGAGGGGAGAAGGAGGAGGGACAGAAGGAGAAGGGGGGGAAGGAGGGGGCAGGGGGAGAGGGGGAAAAGGAGGAGGAGGAGGTAGATAGACTTATCCATGTAGGAAAACAAGAAACGAGGCCTAGAAATTGGTAAAGTCCCATTGTAAGCTTCTTTCTGCAAGTCCCAGATGTTGTGGTATCTGGTTAAACCTCTGCCAACCTCACTCCAAGAAGAGGGGGCTCCTGTCCCCTGTGTGGATCTGCTCCAAGTTTGTCTAGGTCTTTGCTTTCTGTGTGTGTGTGTGTGTGTGTGTGTGTGTGTATGCTACTCCTGGAATTTGCACTCAGGGCCTGGGCACTGGCCCTGAGGTTCTTTGGCTCAAGGATAGCACTCTAGGGTTTGAGCCTCAGCTCCACTTCTGCCTTTTTTGCTGGTTAATTGGAGAAAACTGTCTCACAGACTTTCTTGCTTGGGCTGACTCTGAACTGTGATTCTCGGATGTCAGCATCCTGATTAGCTAGGATTACAGGCAGGAAGCTACCACCACAGAAGTTTTGCATTTTAGAAGATATATATACTTGGATAATATAAATATACTTAACACACAAAGGAGTCAGTGTCAATCAGCATGGTGGCTACACAGATGTCTTTTGCCTATTGATTTAAGTTCTATTTTTAAACCAAATTTAGAGTGCGGGGCTCAGTAAAGATTACAGGTCCATAAACTGAAAAAAATCAAAGCCTTAGGCCTTTTGTAAGTATACAGTTATCTACTCTAATAGATTTATTTATTGCATAAAGGCATTTCATCTGTACAAAAATTTAGTCAAGGGGCTGGGAAGGTGGCTCAGTGGTAGAGTGCTTGCCTTGTATGCATGAAGCCCTGGGTTCAATTCCTCAGTACCACATATGCAGAAAAAGCCGGAAGTAGTGCTGTGGCTCAAGTGGTAGAGTGCTAGCCTTGAGCTGAAGAGCTCAGGGACAGTGCCCAGGCACAGAATTAAAGACCACAACCAACAACAACAAAAAAACAACAAAAATTTAGTCAAGTCAAATACATGTAGACCAGATGTAATTTACATATATATAGTACAAAAGAGAGTAGTTGGGTCATTTTATATGCAATAAACCTAAATAACTTTAACACTAAACTTTTGTATAACATTTACAATTTAGCTACATAGACTAATTTTTATTTTTATTTATTTATTTATTTAGGTGCTGGTTTTAGGGCTTTGACCCATCCAGCAGGCCAGGTAATTTTGTGGGGGATCCGAGGGGGCACCTCCTAAAAGAACCAAGGGGGGTGAGAGAGGATTGAGACCAAGCGCATTAAGAAAGACAGAGCCGTTCTGAGTCGCGTCAAGGTCTGCTTTATTAAAGTGAGGCAGGGTTTATATACCCGAAGGGACAGGGGAAGGGAAAGAATGAAAAAAACTTTGCAGAAGCAAGGGTGAGAAGTCCTGGGGTCAGGGATGGGTCGTGCTTATCCTTTTGGCCCTTGTGCTAATCTTAAAGGTATCTCCTGTGATTTCTTTAAGAGACATTTATGGTTAGCCAGGCGCTGTTTGCTTAGGGCTGGAGATAAGAGAAGTTTTATGGTTAGCCAAACGTTGTTTGCTTAGGGCTGGAGGAATATTTATGATTAGCCAAATGTAGTTTGTTATAAGAAGTTATCTAAATGTGCACCTTGGAATTTCCAAGAACGGCTACTTGTCAATCAGGTGTTTGAAAGAGGCCAGAGCATTCTCAGGCAGGTTTCGGGTCTCCAACAGGGCTTGAATTCAGGGAAATTGAACTCACTGTCCTTGAGATTTTTTTTTTCTCAAGGCTAGTGTTCTACCACTAGGGCCACACCTCCACTGCCAGCTTTTTTGGCAGTTAATTGGAGCTTAGAGTCTAGCAGGTTGATATTCTCAGTGTCAAACCATCCTAGATCACACCTGGAGTTGAAAGGGGAGGGATAAGTAGAAATGTCAATAAAGCTGAGCACTGTAGCTCATTCCTATAATCCTAGCTACTCAAGAGGTTGAGATTCGAGGATCAAAGCTCAAAGCCAGCCTAGATAGAAAAGTCCATGGGATTCCAATGAACCACTGAAAAGCTCTAAGTGAAAGTGTGGCTCAAGTGGTAGCATTCCAGCTTTGAGTGAGAGTAGAGAGGGCTATGGAAGAATAGAAGAGTCAAGCCAGGCACTGGTGGCTCACGCCTGTAATTCTAGTTACTCAGGAGGCTGAGATCCAAGGATCACAGTTCAAAGCCAGCCCAGGCAGGAAAGTCTGTTAGACTCTTATCTCCAATAAACCATCAGAAAACCAGAAGTGGCGCTGTGGCTCACGTGGTAGAGCACTAGCCTTGAGCTGAAGAGCTGAGGGACAGCGCCCAGGCCCAGAGTTCAAGCCCCACAATGGATCAAAAAAAAAAAAAAAAGAATAGAAGAGACCCTGAAAAATCTGTGGGTCTTGGGCCCTTGAGAAGAAAATGGTAGGTAGTGAGCCACAGGAAAATGTGAAGGAAAACTGAAATGGAGGCTGAGACTAGAAGGTCTCTGAGACACTGCTTGGTAATGAAGCTTTCCCACCAGCTTAAGAGGCCACCAAGGTCAGGGAAGCTCATGAGTTAGTTTCTACCAGAATTCTACTAGCCATAGGTATAAAGATAGTTTGGGGGCAGGAGGGTGGGGGAGGTCTACAGAGTGTAAGTAAACAATAGATCTGTAAAACATTAGCCTGGAGGTCAAGTTTAATTCAACACAACTTCCTCCATCCTGCGAATAATGAGAGTTTGCTTCTAGGCTGGTCCTGGGGAGCTATTTAAGGCTCTAAGGCCCTCAATGTAGAAAGTTTGCTGGTGAGTCCTTCTCTTCCTCTAGATGGCTTGCCTTCTCTCTACGGAAATTGAATTCCTGTGTTAATAAACCTTACTTTGGGTTTTTTTCCTCCCTACAACTCCAAAGGCACCAAAGGACAGAAGTGAAAGCCAGAAGTCTGAAGTTACTACTGGCTGCCCTGGGGTTTGGAGCCCTGCACATCTGGCCCACATCAGTAAGTCTTCCCCTGTACCCTAGGTTTTACTTCAGCCAGGCCCTATGGTACCATTGGACCAAGATGCCACAGAGAATCAATGTTATGACTTCTTCCCCTTTAGATGAATAGATTGTAGAGCTGCTATTGGCTCTGAACACAGCTTTGCCCTCATGCCAAATACTTTGGGCACTTGTTCCCGTCATTTTAAACTACTAAAACAGTGCTGTTGTTTATAAAGAAATGTATGTTTTGTCGGTCATGGTCCTGAACTCTGGGCCTGGGCACTGTCCCTCAGCTCTTCAGCTCAAGGCTAGCACTCTACCACTTTAGCCATGGTGTCACTTCTGGTTTTTTCTGCTTATGAAGTGCTAAGGAATCAAACCCAGGGCCTCGTGCATGCAAGGCAAGTACTCTACCACTGAGCCACCTTCCCAGCCCCAATAATTTGTTTTTGCCAGTAACTGGCTTGAGCTCAGGACCACAGCTCTCCAGACCTGCTAGCTTCCCTGTTGGCACTCCAGTACTTGAGCCAGGAGACCTCTAGGCCAGCTCAGACTATTCTTGCCTGGGTTTGGTTTTCAAAGTGATCCTCCAGATCTCAGGCTCCTAAGTAGGTAGAATTATAGGTACTAGCTATTCATGTCTGGCTGAGTTGGATTTTATATTTATTTAGTTTTATTCATTTGTTTTTTGTTGGTCATAGGGCTTAAATTTGGGGTCTGGGATGGTCCCTGAGCTCTTTTTGCTCAAGGCTAGCATTCTATCACTTTGAGGCATAGCACTGCTTCTGGTTTTCTGGTGGTTAAGTGGAAATAAGATTCTCAAAGACTTTCCTGCCCAGGCTGGCTTTGAATCATGATTCTTAGATCTCAGCCTCCTGAGTAGCAAGGATTATGGGCAAGAGGTACCAGTGTCTGGCTCAATTTTATTGATAGTAGAATTTTATTTTTTATTTTTCTATCTGCATTTGCTAGGCAGATACTCTACATTGAGCTATATCGCCAGTCCTGTGTAACACTCTAAAAGTAGAACTTTTTTGATCTGTGTGTGTGCTGGTACTAGGACTTGAACTCTTGGAGATGAGAGTCTCACAGACTTTCTTGTCTGTGCTGGCTTCAAATTGTGATTCGTGAAGCTCAGCTTCCTGAGTAGCTAGGATTACAGGAATGAGCCAATGGCTGCACATGACATTTCTGGCTCATCGTTTCTGTTCCCAAAGGCCCAGACCTGAGAGGAGCAGAGGGGTGGAAATGGAGGATGACCCACTTGGCAATGAGTTGTCTCTCCTGATGCCCGCTGTGTCACAGCCGTGGCGTGGAGGCCATCAGGCCCTGACTGGAAATGGGGTAAACTGACATCTTGTCTACCATGACCAGAGCAATGACTGGGACCTCAGTACAGTTGCTGGATTCTCCCTTTCTGCTTTGTCTTTAAGGAAGTCTCTTCCTGGATGCTGTTCCCTGCAGGTTCATCAGGATGGGTGACCAGGCCCCGCCCACACTGGTACAGCTGGCGGCTCAGAAACTGCTGGAGAACCAGGCCTTGGCCATCTCTGCTCTGGAGGACCTGCCCTGCCACGTCTTCCCTCTGTTGTTCTTTGAGGCCTTCAAAAAGAAACACTCCAAGCTCCTGAAGGCCATGGTGCAGGCCTGGCCCTTCCCCTGCCTCCCCCCGGGGGGGCGCTGGGTGAAGATTTGGAGTTTGATACCCTGGAAATCGCCCTGGATGGGCTCCACATGCTGCTTGTTCAGAAGGATTGGCCAAGGTGAGTAGGGTCCAGCCAGAAAGCTGGAAGTGAGAGCTGTGGAGCTTAGGGAAGACTGAGTTGAGAACCAGGAGAGTGGAGAGAAAAGCATCTGATGGCGCTGGGCAGATTAGAGAGGCCTGGGCCTTTGCTGGCTCTGTCTGGGCCTTTGCTGGGCTCTGTCTGGGCCTTTGCTGAGCTCTGTCTGTCTGGGCCTTTGCTGGGCTCTGTCTGGGCCTTTGCTGGCTCTGTCTGGGAAGGAGCTTGTGAGCAGAACACAGTGGTGGATGCAGGCGTGGCTGAAGGAGCTGCTGAATGAAGCAGGTGCATCTGCCACCTTCCCCCCAAGCTCTGCCAGTGAGGACCAGGCTGTGTTCAAGGGAAGGGTGCTGAGGAATCTAAAAAAATGCTGCTTGTGCCGTGCACTTCATAACATGCGCCCCAGCAAAATTAGCTCTGTTGTTGTTGCTGTTTTTGTCGGTCATGGAGCTTGAACTCTGGGCCTGGACATTGTCCCTCAGCTCTTCAGCTCAAGGCAAGTGCTCTACCACTTGAGCCACAGTGCCACTTCCAGTTTTCTGGTGGTAAATTGGAGATAGAGTCTCACAAACTTTCCTGCCTGGGCTGGCTTTGAACTGCCATCCTCAGATCTCAGCTTCCTGAGTAGCTAGGATTACAGGCGTGAGCCACCAGTGCCAGGCAGCTCCCAGGTTCTTGACTGGACATTGAGAAGGGAGGGAGGGAGAAAGAAAGGAAGGAAAACTTAAAAAAAATAGATGGAAAGTGGAGCTGTGGCTCAAGAGGGTAAAGCAAGAGCCTTGAGCAGAAAAGCTAAGGGACAACAGCCAGGCCTGAGTTCAAGCCCTAGTACACATATACACACACACTCACACACACACCTGCAATCTCAGCTACTCAACAGGCTGAGACTGGAGAAAAGCAGTTCAGAAAGCCAGCCTAGGGGAAGTTCCTGAGACTCTTTTCTCCAATTAACCAGCAAATAGCCAGAAGTAACTCGAGCTTTTATCAGCTTTGATGCAAAAAGCTAAGGCACAGTGTCCAGGCCCTGAATTCAAGACCCCATACTGGCACAAAAAAAGGATGGAAGGACGGAGGGAAAAAGGAAAGGAAAGGGACAGGGAAGGGAAAAGAAGGAAGGAAAGACAGAGGAGTGCTGATATACCTAGTGTTTATATGAGAAGTGCTGGGTGTTAGGTCTCATTTGCTTTACCCACAGGAGGCTGCAAATGCTGAGCTTGGGGAGTGCAAGCCACAACTTCTGGGTGCAATGGCATGGTCTCAAGGCCAGTGATTGCACAACCCAGCCCCAGTGGAAGAGATGCCCTATGGTGAGGCCTGGTGGAGAAGCAGCCCGTGACGCTGGTGACAGGCGTTTACTTAGATCTGTGCAGTACAAATAGTTTGGAAGTACTTGCTTGAGTGGGCCAGAAGAGGGCAGGTTTGGTACAGCTATACTGTAGGAAGATATGGATTTTGGGACTGAACTTCAATAGTGATGGAGATATTTGGTCTTACACCCACATCCTGGTGCAGTGGAGCTGCTGTATACGGAAGAGTTGGAAGTGAATTGTGTCTTGAACCTCTCTACTCTGGTCAACATTGCTCCTTTCACAGGCCAGATCCCATATCTGCAGGCACTGTACCTGTCAGTTCAGCATGCCTCGACCTGGTTCTCCAGAGGAGCAAGAGTTGGATCTGAATGCATTCACCTCAGAGTTGAACAAGCTGCAGTGCCTTTGCATTCTTTATAAGACTTCTTACCTCCAGGGCCATCTGCACCAGCTGCTCAGATAAGGATGGATGTCTGGATGTATGGATCTCAACCCAGCCCAGCCTTTCCTGGCTAAGTGAGTCATGGGGAGAGACATGGCAGTTTGCCATCCAGGGTGATGTCACAGGAATGTACCTGTTGGATGTCCAAGGATTGTCTAGACTGTTTTGTAGCTTTCTGTAGTCTCTCAGAGTCAGAGGACCAGCCCAAGAGAGATGCCTGAAAAGTACCACCATGCCAGAAAGCCAAGAATAAGGGTCAATTCTAACAGTGGAGGGACTGTAAGTTCCTACGTTGGAAGCATGGCTGAGATCAGATGATAGAAATAGGGAGAAGAGGGCCGGGAATGTGTTTTAGTGGTAGAGTGCTTGCTTAGCATACATGAAGCCTTGGGTTCAAGTCCTCTCTACCAGATACACAGAAAAAGCCAGAAAGTGTTGCTGTGGCTCAAGTGGTAGCGTGCTAGCTTTGAGCAAAAAAAGAAGCTCAGAGACAGTGTGTAGGCCTTGAGTTCAAGGCCCAGGACTGGAAAAAATAAAAATTAAGAAAAAGAAATAGGAAGAAGGCACTGAGGAAGGATAGCCCCCTATACCTTTGAGCTGGAAGGCTCCTGGCACAGAGTGTTTGGGGCAGAATGGTGGCAAGGAAGAAGGGTATGTATGACCCTGAGTTTAGGGTGAGGAGCAGGAGTGAAGGGCCCAGACAGAGAGAGGCTTTGTTGAATATGAAGAGGGGGGTGATTGATCTAACTGTAAAGAATACATTTTTTTTCCTAATAGGCTGGTGGTGGGGCTTGAACTCAGGGTCTGGTGCCCTCTCCATTTTTATGCTCAAGGCTGATAGTCTATGACTCGAGCCTCTGGCTTTTTGTTGATTAATGGAAGACAAGAGTTTCACAGGCTTTTCTGTGAGCACCCTCAAATCTCAGCCTCCTAACTAGCTAGGATTATAGACACTCGCCAAAGACATCCAGCTCTTTTTTTATTTATTTACTTTTATGTTGCTGCTGTGGTTTATTTTTTCTGGGTAGTTTTGGGGTTTGACTCAGGGCCTCCTGCTCTGTCTAGGCAGGTCCTCTACATTTGAGTCACGGCCCTAGCCTGAAGACAACTTTTAATGTTCAACATCCTTGATAGGAAATGTATTTCGATAGTCAGATCCACTCAGGTTGGTTGCAGACATAATTGCCTCCTGTATCTTGAAGTCCTTCCTGTGTCCTTGTCCAGCCCACAATTCACTAACCAGAACCGATGGCTTGGTGTCTCCTTAGGTGCCTGAACACCTGCTTGTAGATCCTATGTGTAATGTTCTTTAGATCTACAGACTCAGACTTTAGTGGCCTGTTCTGGAACGTGAGCGTGAGCCAGCTAAAACACCTGCAGCTGGGAAGTTCCAGCCTCACCCACGTGGACCCCGAGGGCATGTTCTTACTCAAGGAATTGCAGCCACCTTGGAGATCCTCCAGTTGCAGGACTGCGGGATGACCAAGGTCCACTTCACTGCCATGCTGCCTGGCCTAAGCCGCTGCTCCAGGCTCACCACGGTGTGTTTCTGTGACAGCCGCATCTCCATGGCCGTCCTGAGGAACCTCATCAGCCACACGGCCAGTATGAGTGAGCTGTGCCACGAGATGTATCCAGTGCCTCGGGAAGCCCCACAAATGGCCTGACATGCTCTGCCAGGACAGGCGCTTCCAGTACTGTTCTGAGCTCAAGAAGATGCTGCAGGCCATAGGCAGCCCCGGAAGGTCTTTTTTGGCATCACCCACTGCTTTGAGTGAGGCAGGTTCTGTTACTTCAGAATGGACTACGATCTGTACTGCTCTTGCATGAGTGTCTTTAGGTGCAAGTGTCACCGGCGGTCTCTCCTGGATATAGGAAAGGTCAAAGGGACCAGATACTTGTAGTTTCTGAACAGTACTCAGTGAGATTTGGAAAAGGCCCAGAGATGAACTGGTGGAGACTAGAGGGTTAAACATTGGGTACAAAGAGCCAGGCGCTGGTGGCTCACGCCTGTAATCCTAGCTACTCAGGAGGCTGAGATCTGAGGATCGCGGTTCAAAGCCA